TTACGATTCCGTAGTCATTGCCGGCGACTTCAACACCCCGTCCATCCTCTTCGAGACGGAAGGGAGACGCATCAGATCCTTCAATCAGAAGCTGAAGGATGCAATTAAGACTGCTGGCCTCTCAGAGAAAGTGGGTGATGCTACACGCTGGGGACCTAACGGAAACGCATCGCGCCTTGACTACGTTCTGACGAACGATGAACTTCTCATTGAGGATGTTTGCATCCAACCTCCCCTTGGCCTCAGTGACCACGCTGTAATCACCTTCTCCATGATAACTAGGGAGGCTCTGCAACTGGAGACGTCCAACACCTTCCCTTGCTACAGCAAGGCCAACTATGAGACCATGAGGGACTACCTCATGAATGCATCATGGCCAGTGGACTGGACTCATCTCACAATAGATGAACACTGGTTGGAGGTGAAGAAAATAATCACTGGGGCCATCAGTCACAGTGTACCAGAAGTAACACACAGACAATCAATGAGAACCTCATGGTTAAAGCGTGGGACAGAGAGGCTTATCCGGAGCAAGAAGCAGGCTTGGTTCAAGTGGCGTACATCACGCAGGGAGTCTGACTTCTTGAACTACAAAAGGATTCGCAATCTCTGTAACATTAGAGTGCGTAACGACAGATTTTCCTACCAAACAAACTTGGCAGCGAGGTTACAAAGCAACCCCAAAAACCTGTACCGCTTCATGTCGAGAAGAAAGTCGACCAGTAAGGGAGTGAATCTTGTCACAGGCCATGACGGGAGTGTGCTAAGCAGTCTAGAGATTGCCGAGCTTTTGAGCTCACACTTCCAAGCCCAACTCAGCACTGACACAAGATCCACACCGACTCGCCACGACACCGACCAGGTCGCAAATAACGAATACCTCTGTCACGTCTCTATTACAGAGAAAAAGGTGTTCGAGAAGCTATCTAGGCTACGTCCGGGCAAGTCCCCTGGCTGCGATAATCTGAAACCAGTGGTTCTGAAAAACTGCGCCGAGGTGCTTACCAAACCACTTCGCAACCTCTTTGAGCACTCAATAGACTCGTGCAAACTCCCTAAAGAATGGAAGAGTGCCATCTTGTCACCCATCTTCAAGGGAGGAGACAGAAAAAACCCTGGCAGCTACAGGCCGATTGCCCTACTCCCTATTGTGTCGAAAGTGTTGGAAAGCCTGGTAGCTGACACCATCTGGGAATTCCTCAATAGAGAAAACACTGTCCACACTGCTCAGCACGGCTTTCGTAGTGGTCGCTCATGTGCCACCAACTTACTAACTGCCTGGGACGACTGGACACAAAGCTGGGATAATAGAAAACCTGTACATGTTGTATTTCTCGACCTAGCCAAAGCATTTGACAGTGTCCCACCCACAGTACTGCTTCACAAGATCATGTCAGCTGGTATAAGTGGACCCCTACTCTCTTGGTTCAAGGAGTACCTGGAAGGGAGGCAGTTCTGCACTAAAGTGAACAGAATAAGGTCGGAGTGGAGACCGTCGACGTCAGGAGTATCCCAAGGAGCAATCCTAGGACCGCTTCTGTTCCTCCTCTTTGTCAACGATCTGCCAGACAAAATATCCTCACCCATCCTCCTCTTCGCTGACGACATAAAAATTTGGAGGGTGGTAAACGAAGAAGCCGACTGTGCAGCACTACAAAAGGACTTGCAGCAACTCGAGCTCTGGTCGTCGGAAAATGGTCTGAGCTTCAACTGGAAAAGTGCAAAGTAATGCACATCAGTAAAAATGAGGCAAGTACGACCGACTTCCAGTACATGTTGAGCAACCGTGCTATCACCAGAGTGTCCATGGAGAAAGATTTGGGGCTCAACTTCTCCGACACCTTGGACACCAGCTCCAACTACAAAGGTATGACAACCAGAGCGAACGCCATTCTACACTTTCTGCGTAGACAGCTTGGCGCCCTCACTCCCGAACTCTTCCTCACCATTTTCAAATCCTATGTGCGGCCGCACCTAGAGGTCTTCAATACGGTGGCTCCTCCAACACTCAAGAGAGACTCTAATCTCCTTGAAAGAATACAAAGAACTGCAACAAAATCAGTTGTGGGGCTAAGGGGAAAGACGTATTTTGAAAGACTTAAACACCTCAACCTATTTACCTTGGGTTATCGCAGGAAAAGGGGTGACCTCATTATGGCATACAAGATCGCCCATCAGGCAGACCATGCAAACAAATCAATTTTGCCTGCAACTCAACGATCTTCACGAGGAAACCCCATTAAGATAGCACACCAGAGAGCCAACACCACACTCAGGTCCAAATTTTTCTCCCTGAGAGTATGTGCTTTATGGAATGCCTTACCGCGACACATCGTTATAGCTCCTTCAATCGACTCTTTCAAGAGGCGATTAGACAGTTATGTCACCTCGCATGGACTACCACGGACGTACTCAGGTAGTCACCAACCTCAGTACCCCCAACTCCCTCCTAACTACCACTCACTATCTCTCTCCTTAATACACCCACATTACCTACTAATTCTTCTGTAGGAACCAAACCCACGCGACCATTCGGGCAATTCCCAAATACTTTTCTTTTGTTCTCATTTCTCTTTTCACCCCTTCTTTTATTCTCCTTCCCTTTCCTCTTCCCTACATTATTATTACTATTATTTTTTTTTTATTTTATTTATTTTTTTTTTTATTTTATTTTATTTTTTTACTCTTCCTTATTTCTCTCTTCATTCCTTTACCACTACCTTAATATTCTCTTTCAGGTACCTACACAGACAGGAGACACGGTTGTTCTCTAAACTTCCCAGCAGCCCGTAGCTCCCTAATCACTCTACAAATTACAACCTACTAACCCACAAAACATCCACCTCACCGAAGCTAAAAGCAAGAAAGCAGAGGGGTGTTCCTCGTCCACTGCAGGAGTTAACTGAACAACTGGAACCAAGCCCTAAGAACTAGACTCGAGAGATCAAAAACTACCAGTTTTCTTCGCTCCCACTCTCAAAATGGGTATTGGATTGGAACTGCTAATGTGGAGCTAGTTACATTCGGCGTAGAATGAGGCAGTTCCATCGCCGAACTTTTGAGCACCACATATCATGGTTGAGCAAGGGACAAACTAGAACAACAAAGAGCTCCATACTTGCGTACCTAGTTGACATGGGACACCAAGTGGATGCTAGAAAAGCTTTCAAAATTATTCATCATATCTCAATTAATTTATCATATGGATTACGCACTTGTTTACTTGGCCTAGCAGAGGCGGTTGCAATTCGCCTTTACAAAGTTAACCTTTACACTCGAAAGAAGATTGTCAGACCACTTTCATTAACGTGGCAGTTGATATGATGTAAATTCTAGTATTAATTCGTAAACCTATTCCCCTTCCTGTTTCTGTCAGTAGTCATTTTTCTTCCTCATGATAACGTAATCACTTATAATTTAGGACTGAACGCCTATCAAAAATCATTAAATTTACCTAAGAATAAAAGTCTTCATATAACCAATTTTAAAAACTCCCCTTTTCTTGCTAATCTTTATCTTCATAACTTGATTAATGTTCACCAAACACCACCAAGCGCATGCTAATTTGATCAAATCGTAAAATTATGTACTAATGTATAGCTCAAGACGAATACCTAATTGCAAAAAATGAATTCATTCCCTCGATCAATATGTCTTATTTTTGATCCCTATTTGAAAATATTCAATCATTTACTTCAGCTTGTGTGTGAACACTGTTCAAAAATGACTCCATGCGGCTGAAAAACACATCTTCATATGACGAATTTTTTTATCCCCACCGCTATATATAAATTAACATCTTCATGGCTCGACATACTTAAAACCTATGATAACTGTTCCACACCCCACACAACACATGATTAGTAGTTCGACTAAATTAAAACACTATATATAATATATGCTTAGAGCCATAAATTGTAGTGGGTTCCCTTCATCACTATAAAAGGCAGTTTCAAACACTACAGGTTAGATACATTTTTTCTCGTTGTTTGTAACTTCTTACTGAAAAATTGCATATCATGATACAGTAGGTAAGTAGGTAAGTTGATGACCTTAATGTAGGCGTAGGACTTGAGCACTATGATAGTGTATGGAATTCTTCGAGAGTCTGTTTGTTAGATATTTTGCACAGTGAACCGGAACAGTATTTTTACTGGATGATGTTTCGAACAGAAATCGACTCTTCATATTCAAACCTTTAATATGAATGTGAAGAGTCAATTTCTGTTCGAAATATCATCCAGTAAACAGTAAATAATACTGTTTTATTACATATTAGTTGGTTGGAGGCAATCGGCAGGAAGCCCTACCTTATCTAGGTTTCGTGCTTCTTGGCACTTGTCAGGAGGGCGTATCTGGAACCTCGATGCAATTGATATCCCGCCTTAGATTGGAATCCGAGTCACCCACTTAGTGTTTCATTGAGAGACGTTACTACTGATATATTTGGGTCGTACTTGTGAGCACAATGAATGTCTTCTGGCAGATGACAAACGTTTTTACCATCAAATATACCTATAAACTCATTTAAATAAACAATAACTTTGAAAAACACTTTTGAGTAATGCAGAGATTAATGGAATTTTTTCCTCCCTTCAAATGACATTCATAGGTCTGTGAAATGTCAGAGTATAAGTGTGAATAGTGTTGTTGCATGTATTATCGTGTCGCAGATGATTATGGGCATATGGGCTGGTGCATGGATGCCTCGATATTGCCTGTTTGAGAAATGAAGCATGTAGCAAGAGTGGTTGTCTTTGAAACTATCTTGTAAACTACGAGTATTGTGTGAAATGAAAGTGACTGGGTAACCGGAGTTTTCAGAATCTAAGCAAAGATGTACTGGGTCATTTGTTTTCAAATTCAAACTACCATTTTCATGAAGCAGACGTTGATGCATTGTTCAACGTTTATGTCATCGACAGGCAACATTATTATAGCTACCATTATTGTTATTTTGACATCTCATTATTGAAATTAAATGTTTCTCGGGGACTCCAGTCTTTGAATATTATATATCTCTATATATCTCTAAATCTATATATATATATATAATTATTATTATTAGTCCCTTGGGTTCCTAGTGGAACATAGGGCTTCAGTAGCACGTCTCCATTTCATCCTGTTCTCTGAGATCTTTTGAACCTGGTTCCACGACAGGCCACAAGCTCTCATTTCCTCTTCGCACGACCTCCTCCATGTCATCCTCGGCGTCCAACTCGTCGCTTCCCATGGGGATTCCACTCGAGGGCCTGACGCGTGATGTCCCCAGTCGGCCTTCTCAGTGCATGCCCAATCCATCTCCACTTCTTCCTGCATATTTGTTGCGTGATAGGTTCTTGGTTGGTTCGTTCCCAGAGTTCCTTGTTGCTTATTCTTTCTGGCCATCTGATCTTCAGTAGCGAGCGTAAGCAGTTGTTGATGAATGTCTGTAGTTTATTGGAAATGCCTTTCGTGACGCGCCAAGTCTCTGAACCATACATGAGCACTGACTTGACGTTGGTGTTGAAAATCCGTATCTTGTTCCGCATGCTGAGTGCAGAAGATCTCCACACTGGTTTCAGGCTAATGAAGGCCTGTCTTGCTTTTCCGATTCTGACTTTGACGTCCTCGTCCGTCCCGCCTGTAGTTGAAACAGTGCTTCCTAGATAAGTGAAGGAGGTTACTTCCTTTAAGTTTCTCCCGTTGATGGTGACTGGAGTTTGTTGTTGTTGTTGATGGTGGTGTTGCGGTATCTTCATCACCTCTGTCTTCTCTATATTCACTTGAATTCCCGTCTTCGCTGCCTCTTCTATCAACTTGTTAGTTTTTGCCTGCAGATCTTCAAGTTTATGTGACATCAGGCACAAGTCATCGGCGAAATCCAAGTCTTCTAGGTTCTTTTCCGCCGTCCAGCGTATCCCCCTCTTCTCGCTGCCCACTGTTTGCTGCATGATCCAGTCCACCACAATCAGGAATATCATGGGGGATAGTAGGCAACCTTGTTTCACTCCTGTCTTCACCTCACTTCAAAAGCATCACTGAGCTTCCCATTGTGAATTACTTGGCATGTGGCATCTTCATACAGTTGTTGGATGAGGTGGATAAAGGTTTGCGGTACTCCGTAGTAGTGAAGCAGTTTCCAAATTACTTCTCGGTCGACGCTGTCAAAGGCCTTCTCAAAGTCGATGAAGTTGAGGTAGAGAGCTGATTGCCATTCTATGCTCTGTTCTATGATGATGCGAAGCGTTGCAATTTGGTCTGCACATGATTTGTACTTCCTGAAGCCTGCCTGTTCTGGTCGTAGTTTTGAATCCAGTGCATCTTTAAGCCTCTCCAGGATGATGCGGCTTAATATTTTACTTGGGGTGGACAGGAGAGTGATTCCGCGCCAGTTCTTGCAAACACTGAGGTCTCCTTTCTTCGGCAGTTTGACAAGGTAACCCTTCTTCCAATCGTCAGGTACCTTCTCTTCCTTCCACACCTTCTGCAATAGTGGTGTGAGCATGTCTGCTGTTGTCTCTGCATCTGTTCTCAGTGCTTCTGGCGGTATCCCATCTGGTCCTGCTGCTTTCCCACATTTCAGTAGCTTTATGGCGTTCAGGACTTCCATTTTCGTTGGGGGATTTATGTTCACTTGTAATTCAGCGGCTGCAGGTGGTATTTCTGGACGAAGTGCAGGTGGTGGTCGATTCAAGAGCTTCTTGAAGTGGTCGGCCCATCGTTTCCTTTGTTTCTCTTCTTTCGTAATTAAATTTCCTTCTTCATCTTTTATTGGTTTCATCTGTGTTGGTCTCTTCCCTGATAGCAACCTGGTTATTTGATACAATGTCGTCAGGTCTCTCTTACCTGCAGCCTGTTCTGCTTCACTTGCCAGTGTTTCGTAGAAGTGTCTTTTGTCTTTGCGTGCACTCTTCTTTACTTCTTTGTTCAGTGTTTCATACATCGTGCTCAGTTCCTCTTGTCGTTGAGCATCCTTGCACTGGTTTATCTTCTGCTTCATCATCCTCCTCTCCTCTATCAGCTTCCACGTATCCATCGAGATCCATTCCTTGTCTTCTTTCTTCTTCCTTCCTAATACTGTTGTGCAGGTTTCTTTCCACATCTCTTTCAAAGACTTCCAGTGTTCTTCCACACAGGTTTCTTCAGGGATGTTCCACGATATCTCCCATTTTGTCTTGATGGCTGCCGTGAAGATCTCCTTTGTAGTTTCATCCTTCAGTTTCCGAGTGTTGTACTTGAATTGAGGTCTATCACCAGCTTCCTTGAAGGCTTTTAACTTGATTTCGAAGGTTCCTTGCACTAGATAGTGAGTTGTCTGAAGCTACATCTGCTCCTCTTCTTGACCTTGTGTTAAGTAGACTGCGTCTCCATTTTCTTGAGATTGAGATAAAGTCGATTTGATTTTTAGTGTGTCCATCTGGTGAAATCCATGTCGCTTTGTGGATATCTTTGTGCCTGAACACACTGCCTCCAATCACCAAATCGTTGAATGCACAGAATTCTGCAAATAATTCTCCATTCTCATTCATTTCACCTAGCGCCTCTCGACCCATGGTTAGTTCTCTTCCCGTGTTGTCCCCTCCCAGTTTGGCATTCATGTCGCCCCACCCATTGGGATTTTGATATCGCCAACTGAGATGTGGTCTTGTGCAGTTTTGATTGAAGTTGTCTGTAGAAATCCTCCTTTTTCTCTTGCTCTGCATTATTTGTAGGTGCATAACATTGTATGATTGTGACCTTTCTTCCTTTTGAGTTGAATCTTGCTGTCATGATCCTGGAGGAGATTGGTTCCCACTGCATGAGAGCCTTCGATGCTCTTGAGAACATCATGATAGCCACTCCCTCAGTGTGCTCGTGGTTGTCGTCTGGGTGACCGGAGTAGATTTATTGATTCTCCAGTTGATAGTTTGGAGAGTCCACTTCCATTCCATCTGCTCTCGCAAATCCCAAGCACTTCGATGTGATACCTTCTCATCTCCTTTGCAATCTGGGCTGCCTTACTGGGTTCAAACATCGTACGGACATTCCATGTCCCCACGTTTACTTTCGCTTTCATCGAGAGAAGACACGTCGGCCAATCGGCTTCCCGAAGGCTTTCACCAACTGGCGTCATTTCGCCTCTCCGATTCCAGCGGGGTATAAGTTTGTTTTCATTTTTTATATTTTGTTTGTGCTTTGAAGTTTCTTTAGCGGTTAGATTTGTTTTACGGGGTAGGGTTGCTAGCCCTATGCCCAACCTTCCCTCTTTACCCGGGCTTAGGACCGGCTAGTAACTAGTGAACTAGTTAACCAGGCGAGGTTATATATATATATATATATAAGGCCAAAAATCATGTAGTTCATCTCATTGTACAATTGTGGCTGGATTATGATAGTTTTTTTTATCCTGCATGTATGAATTTAACCGTTCCTGTAGAACTAGTTACACAGGGAGTACGACTAGGCAGGTGCGTCCCTGGATACGACAGCATTTACTAGCTTGGTTCCGAAAGGGCGAAGTGAAACTGGAGAAAAGTTCAGTCCCAGAGTACCTAGTCGATAGAAGACATCTCATAGATGTTACTGAAGCTTTCAGTGTCATTAATCGTAGTCTAAAAACCACCAAGTGTAGCTCACCAACCCCCGCTTAACATAGTGGAGGCTGTTGAAATAAAGTTGATCAAACCTGAACTAAGCATTCTGGAAGAATATGTTTTAGCATTACTTCTCCAATGGCATTCAGTAAACTAAAGGCCAATCCTGCCTTCATTCGTTAACTTTCTGTTCATTATCCGATTATTCTTCTGCATATATTTCATCCGAATATTGATAAATTACCAAGGACGATGAAAAAGCCTGAAACAAACATCTACAAGGAGCACTTACCTACAACATGTAAGGATGGAAAGCGTTTCCAACTGGATAACAGAAATCGAAAGTATTAATGCTTTCATTTTGGAAAAGATTCGTTATAAGGCCCAGTCCCACATAAAACATTGTTATTGATTTTAACACTTTCAACTTGTCATTCTCACACCATTTCTACAGCGTGACTAATAGCTTATTTTCTGCCCCCATTTGTAATGTAATTCGCTGATTGGTTAATCCTTGCGCTTACTATGTTATTGTCCAGTTATCAGACAAGGTCATGTTTCATGTGCATACAAACTCACCTGTTTTTTGAATTAACTGACCGTTATTCGCTCCCAACCAGCTTCGGTCCTCTTCTCAGTTCGTCCCGGATTGCATTCGGTGGCTCTTACGTACGAAGTCGCCTGTCAGTTAAGCGTTCGTATCATATTCATTCGGAATATATGAAAAGCACACTGTGTGATACAGTATTATCTGCAGGATGACGTTTAGAGCATAAATTATCATCACCCATGATCACACCAATGTAATCACAGTACTTTCTACATCTGAACAAGATATCATCGATGTCAGATGATGGCCCGTCAGATAGTGCTATGAGTGATCGCAAGCAGCCACGAATCACAAAGAAAGCACGCATGTCTAAACGAGAATTGAGCTGAAACTGTTCGTGGTAAAAACACTAGTAAGGCTACACCAGACGGTAAGTGCTTTGCTTATTTTGCATGAAAATCCCCCTTCAATATAACCGAAATCCAGCACTCCGCGTTTCTAACACCAGTGCTGTTCACTCGAGTACTCTGATATGATATTCACTCACTGTTCAGTGTGCCAGTTGCACGAGTACTTGATCACTCACATAAACTGAGTTGGTCGCCCTCAGTGTATTGTGGCCTCGCTATGCTAATGTATCACAATTGCTTATGCTCACCTGGATTTTATTGAGCGCTTGCAGTGCAATAAACATTGTGCATCTCAAGGTATACACATTCACGACTCGATCTTCTCGATTCACTTCAATTCACTCGTAAATAAATCATGAACATGATGATGATGATGATGATGATGATCTAGAAATAACGATGTGAATAAGTAATAATGAATGGAGTTATTAAAATTGGTTATATGAAGAGATTTATTGTTAGGTGAATGAGTGAGTGTTCAGTAATAAACTGACTGAACAAACATGAAAAATCGCTCCATTTACCTAAGATTTAACTTCCTCATATAACCAACCAATTTTATAACAACTCCACCTTCATTTCTAAATCATCATCTTCATGACTTGTTTGACGTACACAATGTCTATGATTATTATTCACCACTTGATTAGTAATTTGATTAAACTGTGAAAGTAAATATTAGCGTAGAGCCCGTGACGAAGATGTGATTGAAAAGGAATATATTTGTTCAATTGTTCGCTCGGTCAGTCTTTTTCTAAATATCTTTATGGAAATATTCAGTGTGCTGAAGCCTTTTCAGCATCGAATTGCGTCAAAGTTTCTCAATGAGTAACTGAAGTACAACGCAAGGCTCTCTTATGCCAAGGTGTTACTGTAGATTTTATCGACAAATGGATTTCAACGATGTGTTACCCTAAATAATATTGAAGATTTTTCCGACGCTTCGTGTTTCAGCCTACTGAAAGAGCCCTGAAACATTATGCTCTGAATGAGGTTGACTCACTATTATCTTATTCTGGTGAAATGTGGAAAAATGTTACAGAGAGATTCCACGCTGTAGAAGGGCTTCCGGAAAATTTAAAACAGGAATTTTTGAGTTATGTAGAGAATGTTGTCAATGCATGGAAGGAAAAGAAGCGCATTAAGTTGATTAGAAGTCTTGAAAATCGAACACCAGAGATGAGATTCCCGACTAACCCAGGTCAGTTTGTGCACAATTTTTCTAGTATCGATGCTGATGTTATACACAATTAGAAGTTTTTTTCACTTGGATCAAACTTTTGTGACAGTCGTGATACGATCAGTAAGATGGAAACAGAAGTGCAGTTTGCAAACTTGTGTACACAGATTGAAGGTTTGGTACCATCATCTAGTGAAGACGTTGATAGACTTAAGACTACACTCGTTGACTCCTGCCTTAAGCACATGAGTAGTAGAAACCGTAAAAAGAGTATTTTAACGAAGAAAACAGAGAAGCTTTGCAAAAGCTTAAAACGTATGCAGATACCATGACTATTAAGCCAGATAAAAGAACAGGAATAGTTTTGATGGATAAAAAGGACTACATAAAGAAAATGAATGCTTTACTTAGTGATGAGAGTAAATTTCAGGAATTAGTCGCTTGTGATGATGTGACAGAGAAAACTGAGAAACATCTAACCGTATCACTGAAAAAAGATAAAACAACAGTGTTTCATTTCAGAAAGCACCTTTGAAATGCTCAAACCCACTGGAACCTTTACACCTAGACTTTATGGTCTACCAAAACTGCATAAAAACGGTCTGCCTCTCCGACCAGTTCTCGATATGATAAACACTCCGTATCAAACAAACCGCAAAATGGTTAGCCCAACTCTTGAAGCCTCTCCACAAAGAAGTTGTAAAGTAAATTCTCAAAGATACCTTTGAATTTGTTGAAGAGACTGAGGATCTGAAAGTAGATAATAAGCTAGTGATAACGTATGATGTTTCACCTCTTTTGACTAATGTTCCTTTAATGGAGGCAGTAGATTTTATTTGCAACGAACTTAATAAGCACGGTATGGAAATAGGTGTTCCAGTCTCCATATTGAAAGAACCACTTCTGAAGTGTACGTTGAACGCACAATTCCTTTTCAGCAATGAACTCTACAGACAGTCTGATAGTGTAGCTATGGGGTCGCCCGTTGGCCCGCTCTTAGCATATGTTTTCTGGCATAACTAGCGAATGGTTCACTGAACGAAACTATTAGCTGTTTAGAATTATATTGTTATTACGTGGATGATACTTTTGTAGTTCTCAAGAGTGAGATTGACAAGAATACTGTTCTCAATGAGTTCATCCAGCAATCAACTTCACAATGGAAGAGGGGGAAAATGACAGTATCCCATTTCTTGATGTTTTGTTGGTAAGAAGGTTAGGTGGAACTCTGAAACAAAGTGTATGTAGAAACCAACGTCTACAGGTCAATACACTTGTCTAGTGATTTGCCCCTCCAATACAAAAGGAACCTAGCATACCGCGCCATAGCTATTCGCCCAGATGATGCTATAACGGAAGAATTCACCACCATCCATGATCTGCTTAGTAGGAATGGCTATCAGGCGAAGCTTTTGACTAAGCATATGAATGTTACGATGGTTAATAAAAAACGCCAACAGTTCCTAAGAAGCAAATCTTCTTGAAGCTGAAATTTAAGAGTGACATTGCCGGTGAGATCATCACACAACCCATAAAAAGAGTCTTGTATACAGCATTCCCAGCCTCCAAACTATGTGCCATCTTCTAGAGTCGCGGGATTCTAGGTGCAAGAAATAGAGACAAAGTGCTTAATTCTACCACTTCCATGTCCATTTATCAGTTCAACTGCTAATGTGGAGCTAGTTACATTCGGCGTAGAATGAGGCAGTTCCATCGCCGAACTTTTGAGCACCACATATCATGGTTGAGCAAGGGACAAACTAGAACAACAAAGAGCTCCATACTTGCGTACCTAGTTGACATGGGACACCAAGTGGATGCTAGAAAAGCTTTCAAAATTATTCATCATATCTCAATTAATTTATCATATGGATTACGCACTTGTTTACTTGGCCTAGCAGAGGCGGTTGCAATTCGCCTTTACAAAGTTAACCTTTACACTCGAAAGAAGATTGTCAGACCACTTTCATTAACGTGGCAGTTGATATGATGTAAATTCTAGTATTAATTCGTAAACCTA